TAAGATTCTCAACGAACGTTTTGTCACTAAACCTATTTAGAACAACCTCCCCATTTATAAGTAAAATATCAGAGTGGGCAAGGAAATAAAAATTAATATACTTGCTGCCTAATCACCGCTAACTACAAATGAGGTATTCCGTTCTCATGCTAATAAATTCCTCTTAATTTGTTATTGACCATATATGAGTCGTTTTAACCTAACAGTCGCATAATTAGTTTATAGTATATATATATATATATATATATATATATATATATATATATATATTACGCATGTCTAATTTAATAGATTTATGATTGCTATACTAATGAACAATATATAGTTTTGTACCACTTGCTCCCCTGAAGATGATCTTGGAAAAAGATCGAAAGTACTTGGGAAGTGAAAATAAAAGAAATTAAAAACAGCTATAGCATATTTCTCTCATCTTTTGGAGGGTTATTCGTGAGTATGAACGGATTTTCTTAAAAAAATTAACAGACATAATGTCTGTAATTTATTTAATCAGACATGCCTAAAATGATAAACATAACGTATAAACAGAAAATGTATTAAAATGATCATCGGATTTAGTCTATTTCATAATATATATTTTTTCCCATTTTATACTCTTGTGGGAACTGGTTATTTTCACCCCCTTATTCTATTTTAATTTGGGTAATTAAAATTTCTCTTTTAATCGCGTTCCCCTTTCCCTCCTCGTTTACTTTATTGAGTGCGTCTTCATTTGTATTCCAAATCGCCAATGAATTCCTTTGAAAAAGTGTTGGCCGAAACGTTCTTAAGGTATGACGTCTGTGCTGTTTAAAGCTATGTATCATTTCTTTGCGTACAAATCACTTTTTGTATATATATATATATATATATATATATATATATATATATATATATATATAAAAGGAAGAGAAGAGAGGTGCCGCAAACGTTTTTGGTTGTAATGTGGATTTATTTAGAAAAAGTATTATGCTTTGTTTTACATAATTTTACGACACGTGTTTCTGGTCTCGCGACCGTCTTCAGGTAAAAGTGGAGGTTTCCACATATTATTAAAAATAATTGATTTTTCCTCATGTTCAATGTTAAATATTCTCGATATGAGACATTTTCTGTTTGTGTGTTGGTAATCTGAAATTCTTTCTAAGAAATTCAGATTACCAACATTACCATCTGCGCAATTTTTAAATTTTTTCCACATATTATTAAAATCCACATTACAACAAAAAACGTTTGCGGCACCTCTCTTCTCTTCTTTTTTAATATACATACTTTTTCTCTCGTTGGAACCACTACATTATATTTCTTTTTATATTTATTTTATATATATATATATATATATATATATATATATATATATATATATATATATATATATATACATATATTGTACACTGCGTGCCAAATTATTATCGAGATAAATTTTTTTGTAATATTTCAAAAACCGTCCAATCAATTCACACAAAATTCTCACCCACTGTTGGTAACGCTGACCTGCGCAATCACTGAAATTTTCGTACTGATCTGCGCAATGTAAACAAACTGGCGCCATATTTGTTATCAGTACGGCCATCCCCTAAAAAAGGAAAAACATCTCTGCTTTGATGGTGACAATGCGTCGGGAAATTTCTGCAATTAATATTAACTGTCTATAAAATTGGATCTTGGTTGCATAAGTTGCACAAAGGAAATTGGTGTTTTGTAATGTTATTAAGATAATAAAAATTGAAGTGTAGACTTTTTAAAAAAGTTGAACCGATACCTGAGAACAATAATATAGAAACATGGTCAACACTTTGGCAAGATGAAGGCAAGAAAAATCTGTTTATAAAATGCCACTAACGATGTTTGAGAAAAATTTTAAAAAGTAATAGGCAAGAAATCTTATTTGGTCATTGAGATAATATTTGCAGAAACTTGTTTTACGAATATAAACAGAAATAAGCGGTAAAAAGCCACACAGCGAAGTGCATTCTTTATTTCTCCTTTATTAATTTTTCCTTTTTTGATGAGAGGTTAAAACAGGTGAGGTTGCTTGGAAGGAACATTCTGCAAAACATTAAAAAAAAAACAGATAAATTAATAAAACAAGATGAAAAAAATAAACGTTAATATATGAATCACATGTAGAGATTTAACTGATCATGTGTAATTACTTTTTGAACACCCTGATTAACATGAAATTTTATAAAATATAATTCACGTGATATATTTATTATATAAGTATAGGCATATCCTGAAATTCTAACAATCAAATTTGTTGCGAAAATATAATTTTGGTTAATAAAATATTGATAAGGTGTGTATAAACCAAACTTCAATTCACGTCATTTCGATTAAAGCTTAGGTTCACTAGGTTTTCATTCATGACGTCCTAGTTGGCTCCTTGACCACAGCTCAATCTCCGACCCACATTTAATAACACTTCTTTCTATGTATTATATACATCTTTGTGCAAATTAATTGAAACAACTGCTTGAGTTTCTTATCTTTCGTCACACAATCAGTTTTAGACTCACTGGAGTAACACGGTGTAATCGTTTTTCTGGTTTTTTTCTCTCCTCAGATTAGGTCTTTTGCAGTGGTGCGTAGTAATATGAATTTATCTCGACTATTGATTAGTTGTTCTAAGGCCATTGCCTGCGATGGACTTTACTCCAAGGAGGCATACGAAAATTGTAACACTGTACGAACATACTGGCAAGCCTTACTAGTGAGTAAATCAAAGTACTATAGACTGTCTCCAATTCTATCCTGATTTAAATCCAATCAAGAATCTGTGGTCAATCTACAAGGAACGATTTCTTGGAATGAACATACGAAGAACTAATATGTGCACTGGGTCATGTTTCATTGGAAAAATATGAAAAAGTTAAATAACAAGGGAATTATTCGTTTTGTTTCAATTAATTTGCACAAGGGTGTAGGTGATCATGGCCCTCCACATCTTCCTCTATAATTAATTTGCACAAGGGCGTATGCTTTAATTTGAAAGAAACGACCAATCTAACACTATAATCACACATATACCTTTTCTCCAAAAGCAACTGAAGCATTTAATCCAAAGGTTAAATGAACAGTTATACAAGATAGATGTATTTGATGCACAGACTTTTCCGTCATTTTGCAGAAATCTTATTTCCTACTTAGAAAAGAAGATGAGCAGTAACACGGAAATCATGATTTGATAAATAACAGACAAAAAAAATAATATATTATTTGTTTCCAAAATTTCCCCATCACCCATATGTTTTTTCTAACGTCTTTTCATATTTCTACTGGATCTTTACATCGTCCACTTTGGGATTCCCAGATTTAAAGTTATGTTAAATCGAATGTCTTTACTATTGAGAGTATGTCTCTATTTATAACCATATTAATTTAAATGACTAAAAGCCACTGTCAACGAGGGCCAGCTGCATTATTGATTTTAGTAGGCCTCAGAATAAGTCATCGCTCGTTAAATTATATTGCTGTGAACTGTAATCGATATGACGTTTCGTAGCTAGAGTTTATCTGGATAAAAGATGCACTTTCGCTTTGCTGTGTCGATGTAAGATTATTATTTAATTTACAAAATAGAAGTAAATAATTTCTCTGTGAAAGAAACATACGATGTTATAATCAATATCTCAATAATTATCACACTATGTTAAAATATATTAAGTCGGGTCATAAGTATTTCTTTTGATAGACCAATTGTAATGATAAATATATGGTTTTAACTAACCGTTCTTTAACTATATTGACAGGAGGTGCAAAATGGAATACATACGACGATGTTCATTGCAAAAGACAAGGTAGATTCTCCACGACTGAACGCAAATTCTGAACTTCATGAAAGAAAAATAAAGCTATGCATGTTGTGGAATCGTCGGTGTAATTTAAAACGCAACAACAAATTAAATGCGCATTTAAACATACAGCAGATGCAACATGTCCATAAAAGGTTTTCTCTCCAACAGGAATTCTGTTGTTCTGCTCTATGACAAAGGTAAGCGTCATAGAGCAAGGATAAAGCCGAAAAACATGGAAATCGATTGGTCTGTTCCATTCGACCCGCCATATTCGACTGATCTTGCATTAACTGATTATAACCTTTTTTCAATTGTTGCAAAACGCTTTAGGGGGGGTCTAATGCAAACCAGCTTCAAGAGATTTTTCAAAATTTTTCTCATTTTTTTCATCAATACTTGCGATATTCTACTTAAAATATATCGAAGAGCTTTTTGTCTGTAGCAACAAGTTATTACAAATGATGAGAAATATATTATTGAATAAAATGTAAATGCAGATTAATTTTTGAACATTAAAATTGATAAACTGAAATTATTCATGACTCAATACACTGATGTTAAAAAACAAAAAACAAAAAAAGAACATGTTAGCTTAAACAGAACACAAAAGCATCAATGACCGGACAGGAATATTGTTTCACTTGTAAATCTGCAAGCAACTACATTACTGGTTGGAAAAGATTCCAGTAGACTAATTGAAGGGATTCCTGGAAGTCCATGCCTCAAGGAGATACAGAAAATTGTTCTGACAAGTACAGCCCACACCTTACGAAGGGCTTTATCTATGTAATTTTTTTTTTTTTTTTTGTCAGTGGAAAGTGTCATGACGCCATTTCTAATCTTAGGTCCCTGGGCGGGACCCGGAAAGAAATGTGTAAACGCCAGAAATCAAAGAAAATAATAATAATAATAATAATAATTCTACTTAATTAATATTATTATTATGTCTCTTCAGGGTGTTGGCAACTATGGTCCTCCATATCGTCTTTGCGAGTTATTTATTTAAAGCCAGAAGATGTTTTTTTTCTTTAAGGATAATAATGATTTAGTGAAACAACCTTTACTAGCTGAGTGGGAGAAGAGGAGGACTCATAGATTTCCAAGTTTATATATGCGTAAATGAATACAATAAGCCCAACCGGAATTGGAACACGGTTGTCGGATTAACTATTTCCATTATTCACTACACCACCTGCACATCCAAGCGTACAGCACCTGGTATTCCCAAGCGGTCACCCATCTGGGTACTGACCAATTTTCACGTTGCTTAACTTCGGTGAACCTACGAGAACCAATGTATCAACGTGATATGGCCTTTGAGCTGCAGGATCAGCAGAGGAAAAAATATTTTATATAATCACACTACGATTACATTAAGCCATTCCTTCTAAAAGAGGAAAGGCGACATAGACCTAAGGTATATTGTCTGCAATGTTTTTAAACGGTAATTCTGTCCTCAGCTGAGTAAGGTAAAGAAAGCCTCCGTAAGCTATATCGCACGCACCTGGTGATTTATTTTATTTTATTATCCTTAATATTTTATTCCTTGTTTGTTATATTAAAATAGTATATATAAATACATCCTTTTTGCTAGCATTAATAACATTTTGTAGCCCCATTGATTATCTAGCTAGCTAGCTAGCTAGCTAGCTATCTAGCTATCTATCTTCTCTAAATATTGAATTCCTCACAGACTGTGAAAATTGTAGAACATGAAGCGTACAGTCAGAACGGTTTGTTGTGGGAACGCTGATAATTGTCTGTAAGAGTTTGTGAAAAATATTAGAAGAATTACCCAAAGAGTTCGAATACTGGGGAAGGTTCTGTTACACTGAAGTAACTTACTGCTTCTACGCTAAGCGACCAGATACTAATGGTCAGAGCACTCAAAAAGTGAGTGAATAATAATAATAATAATAATAATAATAGCCATCATCATTCTCTTCCACTTCCTCTTCTTCCTCCTCCTCCGCCTCCGCCTCCTCCTCCGATAAAGGTAAGAATTTGACCACGTAAACCGAGAGTATCATCGCATCTGGGAATCTCTCTTAGAGATATTTATGTAAACAATTATTTTGGAGTTTTATCTTCAAATTGATCAAATAATCCAAGACATGATAATTTACCCAGTTCTTGTAACAATGATGAAAAAATAATGAATTTTGCAGTTTCAGAAAGTCACAGAATGCAAATGAAAGAAAATGAATACTTAGAAAAAGTTCTACGAATCGCAATGAATCTATAATTACTTATGTAATTTGAAAAGAATTATGGAATATGCAGCATGGATTTTATGATCGTTTAGCTGGATAAGCTACAACAATCCTGATCTACTGTGAACAAGATAACAAATTTAATCTAGGCCAGTTTTGCCCGCAGTATTTGGAGGAATTCTTAGCGTGTTATAGAAAGTAAAAAGAAAAAAAAGAAATAATTTCAATAATGAATAAATATCATCCATACCATATCACTACGGAAAATAAAGAGTTTTCTAAGTGACTTGACATTGTTACTACGTCTTAAACGATATGAACGATTACACAGATTTAATTACTTAGCAGTCTGAAGATAAGAGTTCTGGTAATTAGACTGTATTTAGCAGAAACTCATGCTAACCGAATGAACCTTTACTTCATCAAATTTGAAACTTGATGGCAACCATTTCCAAACACCAAAATTTCTGTTCGGTTTCCTTACTGAGAAAATATTTTTTTCTTTACCACAGAGTTAATAAAACGATTCAAATCTTTTGGATTATCATACTAGATACGATTTTTTCATTGCCAATAGTTCTATTATTTAAAAAAAAGATCTTTTTACTATCACGATAGACAAGAGAAAGACAATAATTTAAGCAATTTAGAATCGATTTCCTTGATTTCAGAATGCTTTCAACGGATTCTCCTAATTTCAACGGAAATATAAATCAATTAAACCTCACCGTAAGATCCAGTATTAATTATATAAAATAAATAGAACTCTGGTATCAATTATGTATGTATGTCAACCGTATAGACTGCTCTGTTTGACTAAATGGTAACAGCATCAATCACACTAGGTTTTGCCGCAGTAGTTTCTGTAGCATGTTGGTATTTTTTCGTGGTGGAGTTGCAAGTCTGACGATTAGCTGGTTTTGAAATCAGAGTTAGTATTCTCCTAGACTGGATGTCAATAAAATCTTGTGATCCTTTTTATCTTGCTAATTATATCAAGGTGGGTCACGGAAGGAAAAAAGGCATTTTTATGGGGCTTTATGTGAAAGTGAAAGCAACAGTTTCGCCTTGAATTTGAACTTAACAAACCAATTCTAAATTTTCTGCCGATAAGCGCTACGTTGCATTCACATCTGGCATTAATTATAGGTCTATAAAATAAACCCGCTATTTTTATTGTTGAATAAAAAACCGATATTATATATTTATAAACAACCAATATTGTACGTTTATCAAAATCTATTTATCGATTTATTGAAAATCGTGCAGCATTCGTATTTAAACTATTTTATGTCCACGGTTCTATTTTTGGCTATATTGAGCATTATAGGTGATATGTCGAAAATTAACGGATTTTTATAAAACTGAATCAAACAGAAGAGTCGATCCCGTTAACATAACAAAATTGATATCGGTTTTTTATGTATTATTATTTTTTAGTAATATAACAATTGGTAATAAAAAATCACTTTTATTATGTGAATCCAAAAGGTAAAACTCAGTCGCTACATCAATGACGTCCTTCAATTACTTTCTAAAAAATCCGATATGAATAACATTTCTACCTATTACCCATAATACCCAACGTAGCCAAAAACTAAACGGTGGTCACTAAATCATTTAAATTTGAAAGCCGGACGATTTCTGATAATTTGATAAATGAATTCCTCTGGCGATTTTAAGATTGATTGACTGATTTGATTTTTTTACGGCTTATCAATCTTTTGCAGGTTATTTAAAACCAGATAATATAATTAGTTAGTAAGAATTTTGGGGAGAAATAATTTACTGATAAAAGTCCTACTAATTAACCGATAGCTGGACGCAGAAGAGATGGATTCATCCTTTCCCAACTTTGTTTTTATTTAGCTGCATATCAATCTCTGTGGGTTTTTTAAAAAACAAAAAAAAACAAAAAACAAAACATTTTAGCCCTTGCGTTCCTGAACAATTTTAACCCTTCTGCCTGAACTCCTGAGTCAACATTCGCAAATAAGTGGTATGTAATGTTTCACGGTAGATATATAGGTGTTTACCTACTGTTCAACCAGTAGCTTGACATTAAGTCATTTTTCTCTACCACTTTTCAACCGGTGGCTAGGCATTGCGTCCTTTTTCCCCTACCACCGGTAAAGCAGTGGTCAGGGCTAAAAGTGTTAATGTTGAAATCTAAATATTTTGGACGCAATTTTATCTTTTTATTTTTTTGAGATAATGATATTTGTTAGTGATGCAATCTTACTCATTAACCCATACCTGGAGGCGCAAGAGGTAGATTCATATATTTCCCAAGATTATTTACGTGTAAATGAATATAATGAACCCAACATGAATTGGAACTCGGCTGTCAAAAATCAATTCCGAGCCGTAATCCATTACACCATCCGCACATCCAAGCGTACAGCACGTACTATTAACAACCAGTAACTCATTTAGTTACTGACCAGGCTAGATATTGCTTAAGTGCGCTGGGAACTTTTTTCTTTAATCCTCGATCTTTCCTTTACTCTCGTATTGTCATATTTTGCACAGTTATTCTTGTCTATGACATTTTGGGTAAAATGGTATTATTACAGGGTCGACATTTTTATAGCTGTGTTTTTTTGCACTCATTGCGTCCTGTCATAGCGAGATTATCTGAAAGGCAATATGACAGAGAGCAGGATATATATATATATATATAACGAGGATTGTATTTGTCCTCAACGTGTTCTTCTGAGAAATGACACTCTTGACAGGTAAGTCTTTAGACGCTAATATTAAATTAGGTTGGCCAATTCGTTTTTTTTTTTTCTTTTTGTTTTTTGTTCTTTTTGGGGTTTTTTGTCTTGTAAAATCTGTATAAATAAAACCAGGAATAACGTTCTGTTGACTAGAAGTTTAAAAGTATTTGAATGCCTTTATATCGTAATATTTTAATACTGGATAGAAAAAAAATGCAGCGTTATCTTAATTTCAAATGGTAATGATAATGGTAATATTAGATGTTTTCTGACTGGGATCAAAGGGTAGTATCTGATATCTAATGGTAATGGTAATATTGGCCGTTTCCTTATAAGGAAACATTCGCCATTCATTGACCGAGCAGCCAGTGCTACTCTTTACTCTTTTCTTCACTCTCCAGCCATAAGACTTGGACCAAAGTGTCGTATCTGTTCTCCTTGTCTCTAATGCTAAAGGTAATATTGGCCTTTCCCTGACTTGGATCAGTGTAGTATCTGTTCGCCTCATCTCTAATGGTAAAGGTAATATTGGTCTTTTCCTGACTTGGATCAAAGTGAAGTATCTGTTCTGCTCGTTTCTAATGGTAATGGTAATATTGGCCGTTTCCTGACTGGGATCAAAGTGTAGTATCTGATATCTGATGCTAATATTAGCTGTTTCCTTATAAGGATATATTTGGCATTCATTGACTGAGTAGCCAGTGCTACTCGTTACGCTTTTCTTCACTCCCCGGCCATCGGCCTATGATCAATGTGAAGTATCTGTTCTCCTCATCTCTAATGGTAATGGTAATATTAGAACGTTTCCTTACAAGGAAACATTCGGCATTCATTGAGGGAGCAGCCAGTACTACTGTCGGTTAACACCTCGGCGTGGTGTAATGGTTAGCAAGCTTGTTTCGCTAGAACAATTACTACTGAGTAGGGAGTTCGATCCTCACTGGGTACCCCTTACATTCGGCCTTGTGCCATATCTAAGCTATGCTTTCGGCCTTGTGTCACATCTAAGCAGCGCTTAGAAAATCACTCATGTAAACAGGTTTCGCATATCAAGTAGCTGTTATCGCTTTTTCTGGTATTTGTGGCGGTTTCCTACCTAACCTTTAGTTTGAAGTAGGGTGAAAAGTCAACAACTTGATTATTATTATTTTCTCTTCCATTTACATTTCATATCCATTTTAGTTCATGCAGCTGTTTATAGTATTCAAGTGATGCCTATTCTGTTATCTGGTACAATTCTTTGTTTTGTGATTCAACAAACATGTGTACCATTTGGGTCCACTACTCACAGATAATTTTGTGGCATCAACGCAATTCAAACCTGCCAGAACAAGTACAAAGCCAGGTGAGTACGACGGATGTCATAGGATATGAAAGAC